TCCTCGCGGCCGCGCAGCTCGAAACGCCGCGCCCAGCCGGGCCGCGCCCGCCACAGCTCCTGCACCAGCAGTGGGCGCTCCGAGTCGCCCAGAACTCGCAGGTGCTCCGCCCGCCACTCGCCGCTGCCGATGGCGCCCGCCGCGGGCCGGCCCAGCGCGTCGCACAGCGCGAAGGCGTCCACGCAGCTGCTCTCGCCGGGGCCGCTGCCGGGGCTGCCGGCCAGACCGTAGCGCTCCAGCGCCTCGGCCACCAGCTCGCGCGCCGTGGAGCGCGCCGTGGCCAGCACGCTCTTGTAGTTGGCGCCCGAAGCCAACCCGGCGCCGAAGATCTTGAGGACCCCCGGGGGCGCCGTGGCGCGGGCGGCCAGTGGCGGCTCGGGGGCCACGCCCGCCGCCAGCTCCGGCAGCTTCTTCTCGCTGGCCCAGCGCTGCGCGGCCCCCGGAGTCCCGGGGGCTCCCGCGCCACCGGACCCCGTGGTCCCCGAGCCCCGAAAGAGCTGAGAGATGCGCTTGGCACGGCTCCCTGAGGCTCCCCCGGCCGCCTTGACCGCGCCCACTCGCCGCAGCTCCACGTGCGGCGGCGGCGGGGGCAGTGGCTCGCTGCTGCGGCTCCCCGTGTCTGAAGACGAAGACCTGGGAGCCCACCGGCGAGCAGAGACACGGGAGAGAAAACCAGAAAGACATGCAGAGACGGGGGTAGGGGTTAGAGAAAGAGAGAGGTGGGCAGAGACCCAGAGTGGGGGGGCGGGGAGGGACAGAGACCCAGAAAGGGAGGGACAGCACCCAGAGATAGTGGGGGACAAACACCCACAGAAGGACGAGAGACGCGGGGTGTATAGAGATGGGGGGTGGCGTGGGCAGAGGCCAGAGGCAAAGAGAGAGCGAAGGAGAGAAAATAAATAAAGGCGAGTCCCACAGAAGGAAATTCCAAGAGGTGAGCAGGGAGAGGAGGAAGGTGAACCAAACCGCTACTCCTACTGTGTCCCTATCCCCGTGTCCACTGGCCTAAGCCCATCTCCAGGCCCAGCACTTCCCTCACCGGACCCTATATCACTGGGGCCCACTGTCCGCTACCGCCTGCCATCTCACTTGCCCATTCAGGACAGGAACTGGAGCCAACTCTTTCCGGTTCCCTGGCATTACCCAGTGCAGGGACTGGGTCATCAACAGGGACAGATGGGATGCAGGTGGGGCAGGGGCAGGAGCCGTGAGGAGTTGGGCACTCACTTGACAGAGACAGCGCTGGGCCAGCGTCGACCCAGCTTGGCCAGCTGCTTCCTGGGAGAATTGATCCACAGGCCCACTGGGAGATGGAGCTTCCCAAAACGGGGGCTTCCGCCCTCCTTCCGCTCACCAGATAGCATGGCCCTACGGGAGGGTGGATAAAGCCCCGGCTCCTGAGGCCTTGAGAGGTAGGGATGGGGTGAAGGGGGACCTGGACTCCTGAGTCGGAGGGAGGAGGGGTCTGGGACCCAGACTCCAGAATCTGGGCGGAGGAGGGGATGGGAGCCCGGATTGCTGGTTGCTGGGATGGGGGGTGGCTGGGGACTGACTCCTGGGTCTGAGGGAGGAGGGTGTTGGACTCCTGGGTCCCCAGCTCTTACCCTGCTTCGGGTCCCGGCAGCACCCGGGGGCCCTGGCTCCGCTTGCCCTGGTTGGTTCCTGACCCCGCTGCTCCTGTTCAGCCTTTGCCTCTGCCCCAGCTCCCAGCACTGGGTGGGGGACAGGAAAAGGCAAGAGGAAACCGGCAGGCAGAGCCGGGAGGGGGCGGCCTGTGACGGG